GGACTCCCTGCCCGAAGAAATTGCTCATATCAAAAGACGATAAATGAAATTCAAAAACAAAATTGACAGGCATTGGTCCACCATGCAATGATGATCTATTAACTAGTCACATAGCGTTTATGATGTAGATGATCTGTATCACATTGATGCTGAATCTATACAGATGGAAATTACCTTCCAACGTTATACTCATAATATCTAGGCTACAATACCACGACCAATACCCAATTTAGAATCATTTAACATCGCGAGGACTATGAACAAAATGTAGGTCTTGATGGTTATTAATTAGACGGATACAGGCCCTCGGGCCTATGGCCTGTAAACCGCTATTCTATTCATCTCTAATTGAAAATTGGATAAGCTACCAAGGATGTGATAGGAGAGGATAACGACCTAGTCGTTTGTTTGGCAGTGAAGTGGATTTGGACGTGTATTTGAAAGTGCTTCCATGATTCAAGAGTAAACGACTTAAAAGGAAAACGCAAGCTAAGTAAAAGTGGTTTACTTCGTACCAGCTGTTGGAAATATTGAATCAAACAACACTGACATATCACGCAAATATCTTTGGGGAAAACAATAACACTAGTAATAGAGAGATGGTATACTGCTAACACCGAATCTCTAAATTTACCGCCAAACAATTTTGTTTACTGCTGATGAGGGTGCATCTTGTGTTTTCAGACTTACTACATTACTAAGTTCAAGACGCTAGCTGTCGTTCGCTGTCTGTCGTTGTTACCATGGGTGCTGTCTGCTGGGGATGAAGAAAGGGTAAGGCGATAAGTCAAGGAAGTAAGGCCAAAAAGAGACTACAGGAAATAAGTAACCTGTTTGCGGAATTCAGTTAAGATAGAATAGAAAGCTAGTGGTAGGAAGTAGTGTTAATGCTTGGTGTCTGTCTATGCACTAGAGTCTTGCACAAAAGTTGACTGTTAGTACTAGTAGTTGTACAAACTGTAACCAAGGCTGACTCACTTTACTCATATATTGATTCCTGGTAACCTCGCGTAGTACATGAAGTGCAAGTCTGCAAAACGAACAAAAAAGGTTAAAAATAAGGATAGTAGTCAGGAGGTTATGCACATTTATCTGCAAATTATGAAAGACATTTTTTGGGTTAAATCGCGGTTCATAGTTCCTCAACTCGAAGAATTTTTTTGAGGAGCCCAAAAATGTGACCCGGGAAACACCCCCCCCATGGCCCGGTAAGAGACCCGAAACTGCCGTATTGCCATATCTTTGCCCTTTTTGCGTTCGATTTAAACAAAGTTAGAGTCGATTTAGGGGTTTTAAACATCAAGAATTGATTGGGCTGGTTTCGAACCAAATTCGTGCAAATGTGCACAAATATCGTTCCTTCGAGTTTCACCTCGCGGGCTCGAAAATGGGATTTTACACTTATCTCGGCTATTTTCTCAACGTAGAGTCAATTTGGGGTTTTGCAGGTAAAAGAATTTATATAGATACACTTGATACACTTCGATCCTGGAAATTCGGTTTCACTTGGGTAGTAGTAACGATAGTCAAAATCTTGACAGACTGACATTCCGCATCAGTCCTCGCGTATTGTTACATACACAGCCCACAACTGACTGCATATCATCCATCGTACCATGCTTCAATTAGCTGATTTGTGCACTTCCTGGTGCAAGCTGCAGAAAAGATAAGGCACATGAACATTGTTATTAGCGATTGCATGACTGGCACTTGGCTCACGTTCTCGAGCGTTTGGTCTGCTGCGTCCGTGCGTCCAGTAATGTGAAGTGGTTCTGATAGAGTTTCTATTCACAATCTCAAAGCGGAGGGCTGGGGATCTGAGTGAGGGTGTTTTATTCCACGACCCACCCTGCCTTGATAGGCGCTGCGACGTACGCCAGTCTGAAACAGAATCCAATGAAGGTGAGCAGCTACCTTAACTCAGCAGACCTGAGCCTGGAACATTGAGAACCGCAGTTCATTGATATCTTTGGTACACAGCCCTCTTGAGTACATAGCCACACAAAATCACAGTATCTTTTCTGTGTGAGGATCATTGTTCTGCGGGTACCAGCCTAGTTGTTTTAACCTGCCGTCTGTCAATTCATCCCTCATCGCAGCACTGTATTTCCATTGAGAAAACCACATCTTCTTGGTCAGCTTGTAGAAAGAGCAGTTCGAATCGGCCGCCAGTGAAGGAGGGAGAATGGCAGGCCTAAGCAGGGGGGACGTCCTCCCCTAGTGACTCATAAGAAACATTGACATGAATGTTCTTCCTGTTCTCTCCAGAGTTAAAATCAACATGGGCTCAAAGTCAGGGTCGATCTTGAGGAACTGGGGCCATAAGACGAGAAGAATGACAATGACGTCTCGAATCAACTGTCTGTTACAGTCAATTCGCGATAAACCACATGCGCAACATGGTAAATTACATGGCACACCATCCTGGTTCCGCCTTTCGTGGGTTGTCCATTCTTTGGATGTATTATAGTTCTTTTCACCAGCATTTGTTCTTTCTTTAGAACATTTCCAAGGACCATTAGTCACACAGAAATCATTTCTTCCAGGACCAGAAAGGATGCGGTTACACAGCTTTCCGCAATTAGTGCATAGTCTGGTCTGTTCTGAACAACTGTGCAGAAAGATTAGACAGATCCTCGGGACAGTGCTATCACCAGTAAAATTAACTTGCCTGTCCTGAACCTTTGGACTTCCTTTCGAGCGGGTGGGGCTCTTTGATGCTTAACGGTCTATACTGGCCTGCTACAATATGATTCGCAGACGCGCCCAGCGTGGGCAGTTTCTCAATGCCCTCTGCAAAACCCTGGAGACAAATTCAGTGAAGGTTGACCCGCTCGGGAAGGGACTGCAGCCTGCCGCCTCGGATTGATCACTGAAAGGTCAGCCAACGAGACCTTTGCATATTTGTTGGACTTGGGTGTAAACGGACGTTTTCGGTATCGGTCAGCCAAATATCTGTAGAGTTTGAACTCGTTGATAAGGGATCCATCCTTTTTGTGAAGCACTCCAGATAATCCAGTTATCTCCCTCGAAAAGTTCTTTGTCTGCCGATTCACGGTTCTTGCAGCAACTCTCAATTTGTTGAACAGTGCTGGAGTGACCTTGATGCGTAGGCGTTCTTCAAATCGACATCTCGGCACTGCTTGGAAGCTTCAGCCATGTTTCTTGTTACTTTATTGATAACATCTTCACTTTCATAGACGAATCTAGTGCGACGAAACTCATTATACTGTTGCACTCAATTGGTGAACAACCTTCCTGCCATCATCGACAATGACCTCTGGGAGAGCATATAGGAAGGAATTCAGTCTTCCAAACATTCATAAGGTAAATGGATTGATAAGAATTTTTACTGTGAACCTTTGCGACAGTCTGATATGAACTGAGATAAGGAAGGGGTGATCTTGTTCTGTGCACTTGAAGTAATGTTAGGCCCCTCTATTGCCAGACAAAGATTGGTCGTGAATTTCTGGCAAGGCAGAGTTCAAGCTTCACGAAGAATATTCTTGTCCTTCGCAATTACGAGTCAATGTACCCAGCCGTTGATTTGATTTTCTTGGTGTTGTATTTTTTGTGCTTGCGTCCAGGGCTGATCTTAGAGCATTGCATCGCCTTATGCATTTATGGGGTAACACCCTACTCAGATCCCCAAGCCCTCCTCTTGAGATGTGTGATGAAACCTCTATCAGAACCAAGCCCCACATTCAATGACCACGGACCGCGAAGCAAGACCAAACTCGAGATCGTGATGGACAATTTGTCGCCGCCGAACACTCAAGTACCAGTCATGCAAATGAGCTTAGAACAATGCATGTGCCTTCTTTCTGCCACTTGCACCAGGAAGTGCACAAATCATCTAATTGAAGCATGTACGGATGATATGCAGTCATGGTGCGGCTGTGTATGTAACAGTGACCGAGACGATGGGACTGTCAGTCTGTCAGATTTTGAACTACGTGTACTCACTACAGGTGAAACCAAATTTCCAGGAGTCTGAAAGGTGTATCATCGTGCTATCAATAAATCCTCTGCCTCAAAACCCCAAAATTGAAAAACTTTTTGAGAAAACTAGCCGAGATATGTAAAAACCATTTTCGGGCCCGCGCTGAACCCGAAGGAACGATATTCCACGTGACTTTGACAAATTTAGTCCAAACCGACGCCAATCGATTCCGTTGATGTTTAAAACCCTAAATCGACTCTAACTTTGTTCCAAATTTGACCAACGAAGGGCCCAAAAGAGTATGGCAAATAACAGCTTTCGGGTCCCTACGGGGGGGGGGGCCCGTTTTTCCCGGGGTCAAATTTTTGGGCTCCTCAAAAAATTCTAAGCTTAGCGAGAACATATGACCCAGATTTGACCCTTAAAATGTCTTTCATAATATATGCAGATTTGGGCTCTATATAGCGTGCATAAGCCTCCTGACTATAGGGGAGACATACTGTGTGATGAATGCAATAACAAAAGAATTTGGGGAGCTGCCGCACCACAAGAATATAAGGGCACCACAGCATGGCATTAGTAGAAAATGAAGAGCAAATGAAAAGAATAGAGAATTTACACCAAAAGGAAGATTTGAATGGAAAAGTTGGCAACGAAGGAAAAAATAATAGCAGTGTAATAGATGACATTAGAGAGGAACATCATGAAATATTAAATGACGGGAAACCTCAGCGACAAAAAAACAAGCAGGAAACTTAGTGAGAAGACTATAAAGAACCTGGAAAAAGGTATGGCAGGTAACCAAGAAATAAATATCGAAGAAATAAATAAATGCGCAGTGTGCAAAAAAATGTACACAGAGGAAGATATGGTGCAGTGTGGAGAGTGCGAAAGGTGGTTGCACGATGTGTGTACCATGCTACCACAATACCAACTTGCAATCTTGCAAAAAACAAAAAGAAAATACACCTGTATCAGGTGTGCAAAAGAAAAGCTAGGAATTACAATAGAAAGAAACTCAGAACATTCCATGTGTTGCCAGAAGAAGGTAGAAAGTATGGAAAAGGAGTTCAGTGAGGTTAGAACCAAAGGAGAAACGTTACAAAAGGAGAATAAAGAACTCGGGGACAAAATAGAACAACTGCAAAAGGCATTAGAAGGAAAAAATAGTGAAGGGAAAAAGGAAAATAGGATTTCAAATCAGCTATTGAGAGAGGTATCGGAAGGGCAAGACAAGCTATCAAGAGCAAAAAGTGAGTTAGAAGAAACAAAAGCAACATTACTAAGTATGACAATGGCTGTGAAAAGAGGAGAAGAAATTATAGCAGTAATGGAAGATCAACAAAGAATTGCTGAATTAGAATTAGAAGAATTAAAAGGAGAAAAGAGTAAAGGAAAGAAAACCAGGAAAGAGCAGTTGGAAAGGAAGAGGGAAAAGGAAACCCAAGAAGGAGAAGCAAGGAATGAGATAGAAGAGGTGGAAGTAATGGAAGAAGGAATCACACAACTAGAAGAAAGAATATTTAAAAAACTGGAGCAAAAAATGTATAAATTATTGGATATAGATCAAGAAAGCGACAGTGGAGTCAGACCGAGAGGAAGAGAGCCGTATGAACTGCGGAAACATGAGTATCCAAAAAGAGGTAGGAACACCACCATGCACACAAGAGACCACGTGATGGAACAAAGATCAAGAAATGGAAATAAAATGTGTAGAAACTATGAAGCTGGAAGGCCTTGTAGATTTGGATACAAGTGCATGTACAGACACGGCTACAATGACAGAAGAGCTATGTCTCAAAACTCAACAAGCAGTAACGCATTTACAAAAAGTAAACAGTGCCGCTATATTGCGGCAGGAGACATGTGTCCCTATGGATACACATGCAGGTTCGACCACAGAACAGAAACAGACACCATCAGAAACAAACAAGAAACAAACCAAGAACAAGCGGAGATAATCAGACAACTGACACAACAAGTAAATTTTTTAGATCGACAGTTGGTATTACAGGAACAAAAAATAAACGAAAATCAGGCCCCAAACCAAGATGTGCAAGCAACATATGTACGGACACCGAGCTGGCAAGGGGGGAACCAATAAAAAGTATAAAAACAACTATTAAAGCAACAAGGCGATCTCGAAGTAATAAAATCATATATGAAAATTTTAAAGTTATCTATGCAAATGCAAGAGGTATTCGTTCAAAATTAGATAGCCTCTATGATATAATTGAAAATAAAAAACCAAAAGTTATTGCCATTGTGGAAACTCATTTAAATAATATGGACAAATTGTCTCTCCCTGGCTATCAAATGTATACTGTCAATCGAACAGAAAAAACGGGAGGTGGGGTAATGTTAGCTATAGCAGATAGATTAAAAAACGTAACAGTTTGCACCAGAGAAGAACGAGAAGCAGGGGAACAAGTATGGTGCCTAATAAATAATAATAGGATTCAAGTTAAAATAGGAGTAGTATATGGACCACAAGAGTCTAGAACTCCTAAGGAAAAAATCATATCCATGTTTGATGTAATAGAAGAAGAAGTTATGAAGGCTGCACAAAAGAAGCAAATGTGTTTAGTAGTAGGAGATTTTAATGTTAAAGTTGGAGATTTTATTACAGGCAATAGTAAAGACCTAACAGCAGGAGGAAAACAATTAATCAGGTTAACGAAACATTGTAAATTACAGTTGCTAAATAGAAGCACCAAATGCAAAGGGATCTGGACACGAGTTCAGGGGGAACAAAAATCAGTAATTGATTACGTATTAGCCGATAGCGAGCTGGAAGAAAAAATTACAAACATGGAAATTGATGAAGATAAAATGTGGGGATGTATGTTTACAACGTGTTGTACTCCGCACTGCACTGGTGGCTATGCATGACGTTTCGGAGAAAATCTTCAAGATCCACTGACTAATAGGTTAGAAATTTTAAAGTTTTATTTCTAGCATCTTAGCTAATACAATTACACGTTTAATCTACAATAAACACCATAAAATAAATATAAAATGACAGTAGTTTTATACGTGTGGTATTTTCCTCTGTTATGCATGAACTGGGCACTCACATTGGTAGAATAGCACACAAATGGAACACACTATAAGGTTTGTATCACAGGACTGGCGGATGAAAGGGAGTGGAGAGACAAGCAAATAATTCATAAACATATTCTTATATGTTGCCCTGGTACACTGTTGTAAAGGGCATTTATTATATATACATTATAACAGTTCAATAACTTATGCAGCACTCAGTATATGATGTCCACCCATCGAAGCATGAGAAATGAGTGCATCTAATAAGGTGCATCTAATGTCATGTCAACAAACAATTTCATACCTAATAGTGTGTAGCGATGTAATGAATTAATTAGGATACATGTTTAATGTCAGATTAAAATAAAACAATATTTATGCATTTGTATTTCTGACACATTCAGATGGATTTTTTATACTATACCAATTTCACAGATTCGATTGATCTCCTTAAAACTCATTTAAAATCTCATTAGAAAATAATGTTAACGTGTTCACAGATTCAGTGGGGGAAAACACTTTATAGACAGCGTAAAATTAACTAGATTTATTTACATTGCAGGATATTGTGCTTGGCTGCATACCGCCAATATTGCTCTGAACAAACACCTGCAAAACCTATAAATTGTACCCTTGTGTAGCTGTGATCTACCACAACATGACCAATGCTGCCATAAATAACATAATATGGTAGTGTGGACTGCTGGGTTATTGGAGCATTGGAGGATCAGTCTGTACACTGACATCTTTTACTGAAGGCTGTAGGAATAAAATATGTGACACGTGAATACAAGGCTGTATTTTAAGAATTCATACAGAAGGGTCAACCAAGAATAAATATCAGGCAGGTCAGAAAATTGAATGAATATAAATATAACGTCCAGAATGAATGAAAATTGAATAAATAAGTGACACGAAAACTGAATGAATGAATATCACGCACAGACAACTATGTAATGTATTGAAAGAGCTTATTTTTATACATCATGATAAAGAGCTTATTTTTATACATCATGATAACGAATTCTCCCCCCCCCCTTTATATTCACCATAAATGGTATATATTCGGTTATATGAGGGTGCGCATGAAATGAAATCGTACTTTGTACTAACATACATATTATTATTATTATTATTATTATCATCATCATCATCATCATCATCATCATTGTTATTTATTGCTGAAATAGAGTATTTAGCTTTATTGATTATACACACATTTTAAAACTTGTTCTAGCTGCTGTATTGTTCTGCTAATCTGGCACAGTTACACTTAAAACTACACTGCTTGTGCTATGTGATAGAAACAGTGTAATATTCTGGTACCTGATTCTCAACTGCTACACATGAAGTCATGCCTGATGAATCACTTGCATTATCATCATCACTGTTGTCAGGTGACTGCTGAGCAAAACTGCAAGCAGTGTTCAGGTCATCTAATATTTTGTCACTGTCTGTTGATGCCAAATGCTGTAGAAATAAAAGAATGATCATTGTTATAGTTGTGTTATAGCCATATAACAGATTTAAACAAATATATACTAGTAATAGGGAGATTGATTATATATTAAATTTCTATTTTATTATATAGAACAATTAATGCCATTATGACCAATGAAACAAGACAGAAATAGCTGCAGATGAACAACTTGTGAGACTACAAATGTTGAGTGCTTTACTAGAATAATTTTTATCTCAAGTACACTTGCATGCATTTGCTGTCTGCCTACCTTTCGCCTCCTAGACCTGCGGGCGCTGCACTGTCTTGCATTAGACTTGTAGGCAAAAATAGTTGGAACCGCAGCAATTTTTAATGCAGGGTGATGCGGCTCTCCCCTACTCCTTTTTTCAAGTGTTCTCTGTAGAAAAAAAAACATTTTTGACTGTAAAAATAATTTAAAAGGTTTTATAAGTTTTTCCCAATTAGAAATATTCACAGCTTAATTTATTTAATTAAGCATGCCTCAATTGAAATTAGCATGCATGCGTGTGTGTGTGTGTGTGAGAGAGCGATTGGTGACTCTCTCTCTAACTTTAAAGTTACTCACTGATACTGACAGTGGCACTGTGTAAGCCTATAGCTATCTATCATGAGTTATGCTTGCTAGCTGTGTACTGCTTGAGAGATGCATTAGCAAAAGACATACGATTTGTCCACTGACTAACGTACCTATCAAAACAGTCTTTAGTGAATATGATCTAGAACTAAGAGATGCCTACTGGCGGTGCCGTTTCCGGATTTCTTATTGCTCTGAGCCATCCGACCTCAGCAGAGATTATTTTCTTGCTGGGCCATGCGTAACGAGATCGCTGGATACGTTTTAAGCTGCTTGGTTGTGCGAAAGTATATTCAACTTGACCAAGTTTTTGATGTGGCTAGTTGCACACCCACACAGCCCACAATACACTCATAATATACAGAGTATGGATCAGATAGTATAAGGACCAAATACCTCGCACGCAAGCAGACCATAAGAAAAACAATGACGACGCCGCCACGAGCCAAAACGCAGGGCGTTGTACATGGGAAATCATTGGCGGCGCCCATAATGAGCAAACATCAATCAAGCAGGTTCGATCATAATATGTTCCTAAATGTAGCGAACATGTTTAAATATTCCAATGTCTATAATAGGCTAAATACGTTATAGTGTCGGACTCTTTTAAAAGG